GACAAATGAAAGATCATAATCAGTCGATATGAAATGTGAGCATAAAAATTTAATTCAAAAAGACGAGCTTAGAAACACTATATTGCGTCTGAATGTACCGTTTCCTGTTGCATTATAGGAAAAAAATCTATAATCGATTAAGAGTATAGTGAAATACGTTTCACACATTTCATATTAAACACAAAGACACATTAATTTTATTTGGGGTAAATCATTACCAAATAATCAGTGCGAAGTTATTAGAACAGTTTAATAACCAAATAGTAAACTTAATTTTTCTTTGATATGGAAAATATTGATTTAAGATTGTACCCAGCAATTTTATCAAAATATACTCATTTGATCAAGGGAAGAAATATCAAGAAGATAGACGTTGAAGAAATCTATCAACACTATGAACTTAATTATATGTAAAAATTCAAATTTCCGATCGAATAGGCACTTTTCACAAATTAATTTGCGCTTAAGGTAATAAAAAATCTTTCTTTCCAATAAAAATCTGCATATGGTAGTTCAATATTTCTATTCGATATTCATATTATTAATAAACTTAAGATAAAGAAAAAATTAAGATTATTTAATAAATCACAGTAATAGACTCTCTAAATTCATAATATATATTTGTTTGATTAAACATAATTTTATTGTTATAGTGTGTCAAATTGAGATTCAGATATTGAACTAAGCGCTTTGAGTGAAATTCCGCCATCATTCTAACCCATCTTCCGTTGTCAGTCCTTTACGTTCATTTGCTGTCGTTTTTTTCCTTTACTAAATACTTTCATTGATAGTACCATGTTTTTACTAAAATTTTTGGTTGTTAACTTATATTCATTCAGTTGGTGATGCCGCGTCGAGCTAGTAACAAGGATGAGGGTGAGCCGGTTTCTAGACGTTCAAGTGCCCGAATTGCTGCAAATATAGCAAACAAAGAGACAACCACACCCAGTCCAAAGTCCACTGTAAAAACTCCTAAAAGAAGTGCATCCAAAGTAGTTATTTTTTTGTTTTCAATTTTTGTTTAGAAAGCAGCTGAGGAAATCACTAAAGTCAGTGTGCAAGAGCATGAAAATTATGATTCTTTACCTGGGGATATAAACGGAACAACCGAAACGCCTGTCAAGCGGTTTAAGGACATTATAAACGATGAAGAGGAAAAGTCCAAATCAGATGATGAGGCTGACGACAAGCAAGGTATATTTTGTCATTTTTAGCAGTATATATAATTCAGCTATTACCAAAGGTGATCATCAAGCAGAGGATTTCGAAGTTATCAAAAAAAGTGATGTTCCGGACCCGGATAGCGATGAAGTTAAGTCTGCTATCTCTGCTCAGGGGGAGGATGGTTCTCTTCTCGTAGGCTTTGTGCAAGTCGATAAATCTGAGGTTCTTAGTCATGATAATGAAGAAGTGCAGAAAGTTGTCGAAGTCCTAGATAAAGTTCGAGAAGCCCCTGATCATGAAAATACTCGCGGGGATTCTCCTAGCCACTGTCCAGTCAATGGATACGCAAAAACGGAGTCTATTCAACGTAAGTCCCACAATATATTACTTAATGACTTGCTCTTGACAAAGTTTATGAATGGTTTTCCCCTTATTTTAGCCATCTCAAATGGCGTACAAATCGAATCCAGCTCAGAGGATAAGCCTCCCGAAGCTATTAAGCATGCCGCCGAATCTGTCGAATCTTCAAGTGATTTGTGTAGTGCTCCTTTGACCACTAACGAAAGCCAATGATTTCCCACCCTCCATTTCATCCCGGATAAGTATTTATGTTCATATCGAGTTCCCAAACGCTGACGTTCTTATTTTGTGGCTTTGCGATGTTTTGTGGTCTGTGCGGCGACATATACAGCTACATCTATGCTCTTACGAAATCATCGGTGTGCTAGTCTAGCTAAGTACATAAATAAGGCTAGCGTTAGTGGCTGTTGCATGCTCTTTTCTAACTTATAAGATATTCCTTAATGAATGCCTTGCATTCACGCAGGCTATATATGTTCTTTGTATACATAGCCATACTCACTATTTCCTTCACTTAAGCTTCATTCGTCCAGGCGATGCATTATACATTCTACTCCCTGACCGGTTAGTCTACAAGCTGGTCTCGTCCTCGATAGCAAGATTGTTTGCAATGGTTCTCTTTTATTCTTTAAGCTATACTAGCCATGGGATATATATATATACGAGATATCTGTTGTCATTTGCTTGTTTACTCACCATAAATTATTGTTGCTTTTTATCACTTTTCATACCACATTAGCCTATTTGTATTTTTTCCATACTTGGTATAAAGTTTTCATTTCACATATTTGCATACCGTTTATGCGATTTATTCGATTTTATTGTTCTCTTTTATTCACCAGAAGCGGTGATCTATTTTAAAGAAGTTTTCCTTTTTAATATTACACTTTGGGAACGACATCTGTTGCTGCTTCCGGTCTAGTGGTAGCCTTGCTTGTATAACTTTCGATATGAATGTCTTGATTCCCGCTCTGGTCAATGGGAATTTCATACCATTCTGCTGAACCTGATATGGGTACTACTTTCAATGTGTGCTTTAGTTTATTTAACAACTAGTCACTATGCCATGATCAGAAAACGACGTTTTCGGAATGCCTGTAGTATTTGTATATATATATATATATGTGTGTGTGTGCTGTGGTATAGATCAATATCATTTTTAACTTTTTCTTACAGCTTAAGTTATGGCTGGGCTGAATGGTCAAAATAATTCCCCGACAACGGTACAAGAACACTACAGCTTTATCATCGTTTCTCATGGTAATCGTTGGCCACTCATCTAACTGATCGTCTCATCCTTCAGCATCTATATCGCGCCTAGTGGTGATCTAAATAAGAGTGCTAGTTACCATTTGCACATTATTATCTACGTAGGTTTCATAATTGTCTGATATTTCTACTTTTGACATTTGCTCGTGCTTCCACGACCTGATTCACAGCTTATTTTTATATCCTGTAGTACGTAAATAATACCTTGTGTTATAAGTCTGCTACATGGTTCACTTGGTTTCTGCCTTAAATGATCTATTAGTACTCAGTTCTGGTCGCGACTATCCAGAATGTGCTCATAGTTGCTAAAGTAACCGTCCTACTCATCTTAACAATTTTAGTTCTACCTTTGGGGCGGAAAGCTCGGATATAATTTTTAAATGCCAGCAGGAATTGTAAGATGGACGCTTTTCAGCTAAACTATCTAATTTGCTTTAATGTACGGAGGTCGGAAGCTCTTGCCGCTCTTGATTAGAATCAACGGCTCTAAAGATTGGTCTTCATATTTCAGTCCATATATAGGTCGAGTCAGTTATTTCCATCGGAACCCTATCACCGGATTATGATCGACAACCCATAAGGGCTGAAATCAAATGTCCTCTAGGTTGCATAATAGGATGAGGGAATGTTAGTAAAAAAAATTTCGCAACAGGATCAGTAGGCTCCAAAATTTAATTGACTTTCGCTTGGCCTCGCTGCCGAAAATTATTTGCATCATTGAATTCATCTGTTTATGCTTTCAATTCCGGTGGTGGTGACGTTTGCTGTAATTGCAAATGCACGGTTTGTGACCCCAATTATTGAATATTATGATAGAGGCCTTAAAGTCAACTGCTCGAATTAGTACGAATAAAACCTGAGGGAAAATTTCTGTCCACATTTCATGAGAATGCATTTAAGCAGCAAGGTTAGGTGAAACTTATTTGCATCGTAAGGAGGTATATAATTTAAATGGGCCTTGTCAGAGTCTGTGGGAGAATGTTGATGTCTTTAAATAAACTAAGGACTGGAGAGTTGCACACAATCGAAATGCTAGGTCCCCAAGCGAATAGTGTTTTGTTAACCTATTGAAATAAGAAATCCCACGGATACTGATTAACAATCGACATTTGTATGTAGATATGTTAAGAGAATCTCCTAATATTAATCAGTACGATAAAGTACTGCTTGTTACATCGTTAGAAATTTGAATAAGCAAGTGTTAGAATTGGGGAATTTGTCTGAAAGTTTGGAGTTACTAAATTTCCGGCCAGTCTTTCGGCATATACACAATCAGCATAAACTCTGCTTATAGGATAGGTCAACCCCGAAAGAGCCCTTTATATGTGAGAATGATAAGTACATTTTTGCTCGAGGCCGTAAAGAAGCCACGACATGGCTAGTTATCGAATGAGAAATGAGCAAGGAAGTGATATCAATAAAAAGGGTTAAGCACGCTCGTTAAGTTCATTGTGGGTAAATCGATCGACATTAAAGTACACCAAATTGTGTTATAACCCCTATATTTTCTAAATAATTTCAAGAAAATTGATAACTTCAGTTTTACTGATTTTCTCGGCAGTTAAAAGGTTCCGGATTTAAAATCTACACTTTCATTCGAAATGAAGGTGCAAACTTTTGAGATGCTTGATAAATCAGGTACATAACCTACAGTATAGATAGTAAGTGGTACTTAATCGTCATAATAAAGATGAATACGATCCACCGTGCGTGTGCTAAAGATTAAATAATCGTGGAGTATTGGAGGAAAATTTGTGGCTATACGATTTCTTTTAAATAAATGAAAGTTTTATAAGCCTAATTTTAATTTAAGGATTGAAGACCAAGATGATGTTGCCTTTTGAATGGCTGCGGTTTCCTTTCGTTGTAAAGTTGTTTGACTTCACAACTTGCTTCTAGATGAGCACACCTAGTCCGTAGACCTTGGGATGCGTGATAATTTCCGTGGTACCTTCCCAGACGTTCCGCTAGCATCGTAGTCGCAGTTCATATCACAAAAACTCATCAAATCGATAAATGAAGCCGATCTTTTGACCAATTGTCTGCTAAACAATGGTAGTATTTCTCCTTACCCT